ACGAACCATGTTTGACTACATGGGAGTCCAGCGACATAGCCATTATACTAACTGCTGGTTCCCTAAACTGAAGAGTTTTAAAGATGTAAGTAGAAAGACTGGCAGATGGCGTGGTGGTTAAAGGCACTAGATTCTCACATAGTCAGCCATGGTTCAAGTCCCCGACCTAGCAGCTTCATTTCTCCGTCTCCTTTTCCTTCTGTCTCTGCCTGGTTAAAAAAAAAAAAAAAAAAAGAATAAGATTAACAAATGGAATTAAGTAAATAAATAATTCTTTAAAAAAAATGGAGGGCTAGCAGGTGGCGTGGTGGTTAAGGCTCTGGACACACTCCCACATGACCAACCACAGTTTGAGTCCCGGACCTGGTGGCTTGCTTTTTCACTTTCCCTCTCTCTCTTTCTCTGTGTCTCTCTCTGGCCAAATTAAAAGAAATGAATGAATAAATCAAATTAGATAAAAAAAAAAGAACTTGATCTTTAAAAAAAAAAGAATGTAAGTAGTAATGTAAATAAGAGGGACTAACAGACGGTGTAATGGTTACACCATTAGACTCCCATGTAGTCAACTGTGATTCAAGTTCCGGACTTGGCAGCTCAAAACTCACAAGAGGAGGTGGGGGCACATCAGCTGGTGTGGTGGTTAAAGGTGCTGGATTCCCACATGGCTGACCACAGTCTGAGTCCTGGACCTGGTGGCTTTCTCACTTTCCCTTTCTCTCTCTGTCTCTCTCTCTCTCTGGTAAAATTAAAAAAAAAAAAATAACAAATGGAATTAAATAAATAAATAAATATTTTTAAAAACCCCAAAAACAAAAAACCTCACACCAGTAAGTTGTATGTGTGAGGAGAAGGGATTGAGGCATGGCTATCTCCCCTGAGGGGTGATTTCTCACTTTCTGTCTCTTTGGCAAGTGCATGTGCCTTAAAGTGAAAAAACCAAACCAAACCAAAACAAAACAAAAAAACTCTCTTAAAAAAAGAGAAATATAAGTAATAAAGTAAGGTTGTTCCTAAAGGAAGCAATATCACTTTAACTTTTTAGAGATCTTCCTACCACCTCAAGAACATAAAGAATATTTGGAATATGATATTATTCTACATTATGAATGTGTTCCTTTTCTATGCAAATAACATGCCAAATCAAAAAGTCATAGTTCTGTGATAATTGTAAGCAACTATTACAACAACTACTATAACTACTACTACTAGTCAGATGTTCATTGCTTTTTTATTTTTTTTTGAGAGGGTTTTGCTATAGGGCGTGTGTGCTCACCAGAAAGACAGACAGAGACAGAGAGATAGAAAGTGAGAAATCATCCCCCGGGGGGATGGCCAGCGGCAATACCTTCTCCTCCATTCTCCTCTCGGGATCCTGGGCACGCACACACATGTGTCCGGCATGAGTTTAAGCCACTGGGCCCGGGACTTGAACAGCAGTCAACTACATGGGACATATCCATTACACCAACTGCTTGTCCCCAGATGTTCATTCTTTAAGACTTAGTCAAATACGAAGTTGGTCTTTCTTTTTTTTTTTTTACATTTCAAATATTTTACTTTTACTCAGTCTAAACAAGACTAATACTGATGACTAGTACACTTACCAAGGCAAAAATTTCAGGTTATAGGCCTAGAGAGAAAACAATGAAGTCCATAAGTCATCGACCAGAAATTCAATGTGTACACTGTTTTGGTTTTTCTCATGATTATCTATTACAGAAAAAAACAATTTATTCCTTCACAGGGGAAGACTAAAAGTATTTCTCCTCCCTTTAAATGAAAAATTACAGACCCTTTGAGGCTGGCAGGAGGCGTAGTGGTTAAGGGCACTGGACTCTCACATGGTTGACCACAGTTTGAGTCCTGGATCTGACAACTTGTTTTCTCACTTTCTCTTTCTCTCTGTCCCTCTCTGGTTGAATTCAGATAAATACATAAATAAATAAAAGGTTAAAATAAAAAAATTAATTCTTTAAAAAAATTACTGAACCCGAGTCAAGTTTGCATTTCTCTTTTATTATATAAACTGCCGACAAGGTCCTGATCTAGGAATCAAAATTTAAATAAAATCTTGGAATTTAAGACCCTAAACACAAGCTGAATCACACACAATTCCTCATGAAGAAACTAATTTGGTAATATTACCCCAAAAATAAAGTAAGGACCTGTTCAATTAATCATCTTCTCATTTCAGAAAAGCAGTATCAAGCATTCAGGTCATAAGTTTATTTACAAACATATCTAGTATGCTGTGAATTTAAGAATTTGATCCATTTTTCAGAGATTTTGACTGCACCTCTTAAAATGTTCTTCTACCTACTAAATGGATGAATTAAAACATCCTTATTTCTTAAGCAGTTGGTGTCTTACTATAAAGGAGCAGCAAATCCAGATCCAAAGTACAAAGTCATCATAATGAGTAACCACCACTTGCTTTTCACTGAAAATGGCAGATTCTTCCCCAGACCCTTGTCATAGAGGCTTCTATGGACCACAGAGGTCGTGAACCTCCAGGTGCTCTGTCCCAATGTGGTGCCATGGGAACCTCTGAGACCGTGCCCTGAGTCCAAAGTTAAAGCTGGTCTTAAGACAGTCTGAGGCTAAATTAGTCATGCTCTTCTTTGGATTTATGTAGCATTTTGTATACAGCAGTCCCCCTTATCCACTGCTTCACTGCCTCAGGTTTCATTGACCCATGGTCACCAGCTGTATGAAAATATTAAATAGAAAATTTCAGGGACTGGCAGGTGGCATGGTAGTTAAGGGTGCTGGATCCCTCCATGGCTGACTGTGGTTTGCGTCCTGGACCTGGCGGCTTGCTTTCTCTCTTTCTCTCTCTCTCACTCTGTCCCTCTCTGGTCAAATAAAAATAAAGTTAAATAAAATAATTCTCAAAAAAAAAAGAAAATTTCAGAAATAAACAATTTGCAAGTTTTACTCTGCCCACCATCCTAAGTAGCATGATGAAATCTTCTGCCATTTTGCTATGTCCAGCCCAGGAGGTGAATCATTCCTTTAGAGAATATATTCACGCTATATATGTTACCTGCCCATCTGTCACTCAGTTATCAGATGGAGAAACTGCATATTGTAGATAGAATTTGAGACTAAGCCTTTTTTTTTTTTTTTTGAGAGGTTTTTGCTACAGGGCGCGTCTGCTCGCCAGACAGAGACATAGAGACAGAAAGCGAGAAATCACTCCCCAGGGGGGATGGTCACGCTGCAATCGCTTCTCTTCCATTCTCCTCTCGGGATCTTGGGCACACACGCACACGCGCCCAGCGTGAGCTTTAAGCCACCGGGTCCAGGACGTGAACCGCAGTCGACTACGTGGGAGTCCAGCGACATAGCCATTATGCTAACTGCTGGTTTCCTCCTCTTGGGATCTTGAGCACGCACGCACATGCGCTCGGTGTGAGTTTTAAGCCACCGGGTCCGGGACGTGAACCGCGGTCGACTACATGGGAGTTCAGCGACATAGCCATTATGCTAACTGCTGGTTCCCTGGATTCAGCATATTATTGGAGGTCTTCGAACATAACTTACTTGGATAAGGAGACACTACTGTATTGGTATATACCAATTATATTACATTACATTCTGGCTCTTTTGTAGGTGTTTTCCCCACTATGTGTGTGCTGAGAATTCCCAGTATTCTCTATTCTAGTATCTTTGTGACCTCAGTTCTTAGCTTAGTCCTGGAAATGGGTGCCCAAGAGCTCTTTAAGGAGTAATGAACAAATGTACGTATGGATATGAATAATTTCTAGAGACACACTTGATATGTATCTTTTTTTAAGAATTATTTTATTTAATTTTATTTATTTTAATTTGACCAGAGAGGGAGAGAGAGAGAGAGAGAGAGAGAGAGAGAGAGCGCGAGCGAGCAAGCTGCCAGGTATGGCACTCAAACCACTGTTATCCATGTGGGAGTCCAGTATCCTTAACCACCATGCCATCTGTCGGCCCCTGCCGGCCCCCAGATTTGGTAAGTATTAAAATTATGTGAATGAGTTCCTTTTTCCTATTAACCTGAATCAAAGTTGCATTTATTTTGTTCAAATTGTGTATTCTTCCTGTGTCATTAAACTAGAAAAATTTCCCCAATGGAAAATCGTTTTTCGGATCTAGAAAATGACATCCACAAGAATGAAGGATTTAACGTCCCCTACCCCAGCTTCTAGGCGTTGCTCTTCCACGTTATCATATCGTATTCAAACTCTAGGAAAGAGGACCCGCGTGCAAGGCTGGGTGTTTGCAGATCTCACCAGCCAGGCTCCGGTGCGGTCGCTTCACAGCTCCGCCTGCTGGGAACGAACTGTAGCGGGGAAGGTTGAAGGCCGGCCTGATATTCTGCGCACACGCCGTCCCGGCGGGCTCCTAGGGGGCGGGGCGCGAGACGCGCTTAGCTGCCGCTGTGGGTGAGTGGCAGTCGCAGGGCCGTGGGCCGTTTTTCACGTGCAGGATGCTGCTTCTGGCTCTGGGCGGCCAGTGGGCGGCTGGGCTACGGTTCCGCGGGAAGAGGACCACGCTGTGGGCTGCCGCCACCCTCCAGCGCTCCAGCTCTGCCGTCTCGCGGCCGGCCTCCTGTAGTGGTCCCGCGGGGCCAGTCGGCAGCGGGAGCTCGAGGTTGCAGGGAATCGCGCCCCTTCTCCGGCGTCCTGCTCGAACACAGGTCGGCAGTCCGAGGGCCCGCGGGCGGGGATAGGTCGCGGCGCAGCGTCGGGTTTGAGGAGCCCAGCAAAGCTCTCCGCAACCTGGTGGCTCGAGTGCGGAAGGCGCCCTTGATGATCAGCGACACTCGCCGAAGTGTCAGGCCGAGGCCTGGAGACTAGAGGGAGATCTCGGGTTCACAGTTCCTGCCAGTCTGCTACTACCGTGGGACAGCGGTTACTTTTCCGGGCAGTTGCAAACGCTTTACAGGTGGTTCCAAATCCAGTGGGTTTGTGGCAACTCGAATTAGATTCTTTTCTACCGCGGGGCATAAGCTTTTAAGTGTTAATATGCATAGAAATTGGATGCAGCACGTGTAGACAGATCCAAAAGAATCCGGCTAATCTGACATTTGAGTTTGCTGTATTTTTAATTAGGTGGTTAGGTGGTTCTATTTTTAGGTCCCTTGGACCCTGAGAAAGGGGGAGATGTTGACATTAAGCCTTCCATTTTAATCTGAATAAATTGTCTCAATTCCGCCTTGTAAACATCAGGATTGGCAAGCGTGGTTGTAAGAGATAACTAAAATGGAAATTGGAGTCAATTTAAGCATAAAGGAATCAGACTTGCCTTTTACATTTTGAAGTGATAGCACTGTAACATTCATTTTGAGATGTTCTGGGAAATTGTTTCTGTGAAAATTAATGTAGGATTTCAAGTAAACTTTTTTTTACTTGAAGGGAACAGGGGATACAAGACTTTAAAGGAAAGGATTGCTCTCTCTTGTTTTTTTTTAAATTAATTTTATTATCGTCCATGTATTATTATTTTTAAATTTGACCCGAGAGAGAGAAAGAGAGAGTGGGAAAGTGAAAAATCAAATCACCAGGTCCAGGACTTGAACTGCAGTGGCCCTTGTGGGGAGTCCAGTATCTTAAGCACCACGCCACCTGCTGGTCCCACTCTCTCTTTTAATACTAACTATAATATAAACATTTTAGAAGCATTGAGAAAGATCTTGGGACCAGCAGTTGGTGTAATGGCCATGTTGTTGTACTCCCATGAAGTCATCCGTTGTTCAAGTCCCGGACCCGGTGGCTTAAACTCACACTGGGCATGTGTGCATGCATGCCCAAGATCCCAAGAGGAGAATGGAGGAGAAAGGATTGCAGCGAGGCCATCCCCCCTGGGGAGTGATTTCTTGCTTTCTGTCTCTCTCTCTTTCTGGCAAGCACCCTGCCCTATAGCAAAAACCTCTCAAAAAAAAAAAAAAAAAAGAGAGAGAGAGAGAAAGGTCTTACGCTTTAAGTGTAATCTGGATTTGCAGAGTGTTTTACTTATTGTTTTAAAGTTAGTTTTTGCTTATGCTTTGAAAAACTAATGCATTTAAGGAATAAGAATGATATTGTTATTAACAGTAGAATAGAAGAAACCATTCTGCTAATTTTTTTTTTTTCTTGTTCAGGGTCACACCAGGTCCAAACCTGGCAAACTGTAATTCAGCATGTTTCTACTTGTCATGGAGTTAGGGAAAGCAGTTCTGTTAGCCAGTTTGATGTCTTAGTCTCTGGATTATTTGGAGAATTCTTTGTCACCTCATGTGGGAACTTCTATATTACATTTTAAAAATATAAACTAAAATACTTAAGACTGTTTGAAGGCAGTTTACTCACTGTGGTCTCTGTTTAGATATCTGCTTGTTGGGAAGGATGTGTTCGATGCTTCAGTACACAAGTTGACAAATCAGAAGACGGAAGGCTGATTTATACTGGAAATCTGGCCCGAGCAGTATTTGGTGAGTAATCAGATGTGACAGTATTTTATTTATTTTTTGGTATTACTTGTAAAAAATTTTCTTTTTATATGTTACCTGTTGTTTTAGCTTCTCTTAATTATAAGACATAATAAATTATAATTTTTTTTTCACCTTGAGGCTTGTTGATAAGATGTAGAGATTGTGACCTTTGCATTTATTTTTATTAAAAGAATTCTTTTAAAAATATTTATTTATTTATTTCATTGTATTTATTTTTATTATTGTTATTATTTTTTAATTTTACCAGAGAGAGACAGAGAAAGGAAAAGTGCGAAAGTAAGCCACCAGGTCCAGGACTCAAGCCATGGTCAGTTATGTGGGAGTCCAGTGCCTTAACCATCATGCCACTTCCTGGCCCCTAAAATAATTATTTTATTTAACTTTATTATTATTATTATTATTTAACTTGGCCAGTGAGAGAGAGAAAGGGAAAGTGAGAAAGCAAGCCACCGGGTCTGGGACTCAAACCGTGGTTGGCCATGTGGGAGTCTAGCACCTCCAAACACCACACCACCTGCTAGCCCCAGAGACCTTTGTGTTTTTAGATTGTAAACGACCTTTGACGCCAGTCTGTATCCTGGTGGTTAAGGGAGCCAGATCCCACATGGCCCATTGCAGGTTTGAGTCTCTGCTGAGGTAGCTTGAAAAACACAAAGGCATGCATATGTTTGTGTCCCCAAATTCCAACAGGATAGAGAAATAGAGGAGAAGGGATTGCAGTGTGACCATGCTCCATTAGGGGCTGCTTTCTCTGTTTCTCTGGTGAACACACATGCCTTCTGATATACATATAAACATATTTAGATATACAAACACATGTAAATATATAATTGAACATAAGTATGTGTGTGTGTGTGTTTAAAGGTTATATTATGACTTTGGGATCTTATGGCTGGGTAATCAACCTTTTAGTCTTTGGCCATCTCTTTGTTGGGGCTGTTTAACAACAAAAGAAAAGTGTGTGTGCAGGGACCAGCAGATGGCGTAATGGTTATGTTGCTGAACTCACACACATAGTCCACTGCAGTTCAAGTCCTGGACGTGATGGCTTAAAACTCACGCTGGGGGGACCAGCAAGTGGCATAGTGGTTAAGGTGTTGGACACTCCCACATGGCCAACCACAGTTCAAGTCCTGGAACTGGTGACTTGCTTTCTGACTTTCCCTCTCTCTCTCTTTCTGTGTGTGTGTGTGTGTGTGTGTCTAGTCAAATTTAAATGATGAACATGAAAAAAATAAACCTCACACTGGGCACTTACGTGTGTGTGCCCCAAATCCCTAGAATGGAGGAGAAGGGATTATGGTGTGACCATCTCCCTTTGGGGGAGAGTTCTTGCTTTCTGTCTCTTTGTTCTGTCTCTCTAGTGAGCGCCTGAGCCTTATAGCAAAAATTTCTCTCTTAAAAAAATGTTTGTGTAGAGAAAAAATATGGACAAATACCTCTTCATCTTTGGATATGTGTGGGAGAGAAAGAGAGAGGGAGAGAGAACCCACCACAGGGTCTCGTCATACCTAGATCCCCTTTCCTCGGCTCTCCAGCTTCTCAGGATCTTGGGTGCCTGTTGATATGTTTTCAGGTCACTCAGGATCTGCCACGTAGCTTCTAGCACTGCAGTCCTGTATGCTGTGGGCTGTGCTACCTAGGCTGGATAGAAGAATACCTCTTTTTTAAAAAAATATATTTAATTTTATTTATTCATGAATTTATTTTAACTTGACCAGAGAGAGACACAGAGAGAAAGAGTGAAGCAAGCCACCTTAACTACCATGCCACCTGCCGGCCCAAACCGCCATGAATTTCAAGGCAGAAACACGTCAAAGCCAGAGAGAGAGAAAGCGTCCCTTGGAGAGGGGGCATGGTCACACTGCTGTGGTCACTGCAGTTCCTTCTCCATTCTGTGGACTATTGAGACTTTAGACTTGCATGCATGTGCACCTGGTGTTTTTTTTTTTACCCCCAAGCTGCCAGGGCTGGGATTTAGACCATGGTTGACTATGTAGGATATAGCTCCCTTAACCAATAAGCTACAGGCTGGCCATTTAAAGTATATATTTTTCTTGGGTAAAAAATTATTTAAATTTATTTCTCTATTTATTTTAATTTGACCAAGATGGGGCAGAGAGAGAGGTAAAGTGAGAAAGCAAGTTGCCAGGTCCGGGACTTGAACTGTGGTCAGCCGTGTGGGAGTCCAGCACCCTTAACCACCATGCCACTTGCCGGACCCCTAAAGTATGTCTTTATTATGTTCTGGATTTCCATATGCACCTGGGTTTATTTCTTGATTTTCTGTTTTGTTCTGTTGATCTGTTTATTAATGCACAGATCCACATGAACTAAATTATAGAGTTTTTTATTGTTGTTATTTATTTATTTAGATTTTTTGCTATTTTATGTGAACGTTCACAGGAGAGAGAGAGAGAGAGACAGAGGGAAAGCAAGAAATTGTCCCTCCCTGGGGGGCGGGGGTGTGTGCAGGATTGATCACACTCCAGTTCCTTCTCCTCCATCTTCTCTCAGGATTTTGGGCATGCATGTACATGTACCCAGTGTGAGTTTCAAGCCACTGGGTCTGGTACTCAGACCACAGTTAGCCTTGTGGAAGTCTAGCACTTTTTTTTTTTTGGAGAGGTTTTTGCTATAGGGCATGTGCGCTCGCCAGACAGAGAGAGACAGAGAGACAGAAAGCGAGAAATCACCCCCCCAGGGGGGATGGTCACGCCGCAATCCCTTCTCCTCCATTCTCCTCTCGGGATCTTGGGCACGCACGCACAGGCGCCCGGCGTGAGTTTTAAGCCACCGGGTCCGGGACGTGAACTGCGGTCGACTACGTGGGAGTCCAGCAACATAGCCATTACGCTAACTGCTGGTTCCCTCTAGCACTTTAACCACCACACTACATGCTGGCCCCTATTATTGTTATTTTAAAAACCTTTGCCAGAGAGTGAGTTTACTTGCCAGAGAGGGAGAGAAAAAGAGAGAGAGAGATGGGACCAGCAGGCGGTATGGTGATTAAGGTGCTGGACACTCCCACATGGCTGACCATGGTTTGAGTCTCGGACCTGGTGGCTTGCTTTCTCACTTCCTCTTTCTCTCTTTGTTTCTGTCTCTGTCTTTCTGGTTAAATTTTTAAAAATGAATGAATAAATAAGTAAGTAATTATTTAAAGAAAAAAGAGAGAGAGAGAGAGAGAGCGAGACAGAGTAAGCATCCCCCATGGGACAAGGTTCAACTCCCTGCCTCCATTGAGGTAAAGAGGGTACACCCTCCCCAATAGGACATGGAGACAGAGCGTTCTCTTTTCCTCCATTTTTCCATCCTGTGGGATTTTGGACACATACCCATTGTGTGTGTGTGTGTGTGTGTGTGTGTTTTAGAGAATTATTACTTTACTTCATTTGTTATTATTAGTACTTTTTTTTTTTTTTTTTAATTTGGCCAAAGAGAGGATGGGAGGAAGTAAGAAAGCAAGCTACCAGGTCTAGGACTGGAACTGCAGTTGGCCATGTGGGAATCCAGTGCCCTAACCACCATGCCATGTGCTGGCCCCATCACCCTGTGTGTTTGTCAAGTTGCTGGGGCTGGGACTCATTCACACAGTTGGCATGTGAGATCCGGCACCTTCAACCATCAGGTTAGGGGGCTCGCTTTTCTATTACTATTATTTTTGTTTATTTATTTTTTGCCATAAAGTATGTGTGCTCACCTGAGAGAGAGAGAAATAGAGGAAAAGTGAGAAATCACTCCCCAGTGGAGGATGACCACACCACAGTCTCTTCTCCTTCATTCTCCTCTTGAGAGTTTGGTCATGCACACACACGTGCCTAGCATGTTTTTCAAGCTGTTGGGTCTATAACTTGAACCAACAGTCAACCAGCAGTCAGCTTAACTACCATGTCGTCAGCCATTCCGCCTGGCTTGTTTTTCAAGCTTCCGAGTCTAGGACTCATAATGTGGCGTCTGCCATAGTGGGATCCAGTGACTTGAACCACCACAGCGTGTGCTGACTCTTCTATTGTGTTTTGTTTTTGAAAGAATTATTTATTTAATTTTATTATTATTTATTTAATTTGCTATAGGGTACATGCAATCACTTAGAGAAACAGAGAGAGAAAGAGAGAGAGAGAAAGAGTGAAGCAAGCCACCAGGTCTGGGACTTGAACCACAGTTGGTCATGGGGGACCTCCAGCACCTTAACCAGCATGCCATCTGCTGGCCCCTCCACTGTGTTTTAATATTTGGGAGGGCCAACTTCCCCTTTTCCTCCTTTTTTTTTTTTGCATTTGCTTTTCTAAATAAACTTTATAATCAATTTTTCATTTTTAAAGACTTTTGCTATAGAGTGAGTGAGCTCACCAGAAAGACAGAAATTGAGAAATCACCTTCCAGGGGGATGGTCATGCTGCAATCCCTTCTCCATTTTCCTCTTGGGATCTTGGGCATGCACATACATGTGCCTGGCATGAATTTTAAGCCGACAGGTCTGGTACTCGAACCGTGGTCTATTACGTGGGAGTCCAGCAACGTAACCGTTATGCCATCTGCTGGTCCCTGTATTCAATTTGTTTAGGATATCAACTTTTCTATTTTCTGAACAGGTGATATTTTTATTAGGATCTTATAAAGAGAAATTTACATTGCAAGTTTTTTTGTTAGAGGTTTTTGCCTTAGGGCTTGTGTACTTGCCACAGAGAGAGAGAGAGAGAGCCAAACAGAGAGAAAGTGAGAAATCACCCCCAACAAGGGATGGCCATGCTGTAATCCCTTCTCCTCCATTCTCTTCCCAGAGTCTTGGACATGCACACACATGTGTGTGTCTCAAGCTACCTGATCTGAGCCTTGAAATATGGTCCACAAAATCCCGAGAGGAGAATGGAGGAAAAAGGATTGGGGTGTGGCTATCCCCCCCACTCCTGGGTGATATCTCTCTGTCTCTTGGTCTCTGTGTCTCTGGCAAGCTCATGTACCTGATAGCAGAAAAC